GACTTTTCTTGGGCTACTAGTAATCTGTGTCATCTGCCATAGAATTTATGATTATTTAAACACCGGATCATTGACATGGTACATTTCCAGGTATTTCGCCTACATTTCTGCCGACATTTTAAGCACAAAGTTACAATTCATTAAAGTGATAAGTCACTTATCGCTTGAAGAGATTTTGACCAAACGAAAGTCCACCATTTTGTACTTCATATCTTCCATTTAAAATAGTGGATGTCTTGCTTAGCATCGAAGCCAAGCTTTAACAATGTAGTTTTATTGAATAAGACCGATTTTCCACCGGTGGCCAAATCAATCTGTCCTTTTCAACTTTCGTGTTTTAGTTTTTATAAACTTTTTATATGACCATACCTAATCAAATTTTAATTTTTAAAAAATATAAATCCATCAAATCTTAGACTTCGTCCTTTATTCCATGAAAAAATACTTCCATCTTTACCTTTTGACTAAAAAAATCCAATTTATTTCAGCATTTCATTTTTGGCGCTTCGTTTAAAGCCGGCTTTTTACCTTATTTTCCTTTTACCTACTTCATTACATTGATTGTTCCATTGCCAAAATTTTACTACATACCCCTGATTACTAATCCTTTATATCGTGTTTTTCATCCATTTATATTTTTTATTAGAATGGCGACACAAAGCCCTCAAATGAGGGCACTTTAAATCTCGTTTCTCCTATTGGGTCGACGGGGCTTTCTTTAGTGACAACTCAAAGTAGCGGTGGAGGATGCGGGAGCATCTCGTCGGATAAGCGAGCCAGACCATCATCAGAGGAAGTTTGTCTTCCGATAGCTAGCACTGGGAGCACTATCGCCTTAACAGATATCGCGGCGCTTGATACAGATCCATTGATCGCGGGAGTGGATTCATCTAAATCGGCTGTATCCGAAGCAAATCGGGATGGCTTAGAGACGAATAGTAATTCTGGAGGACCTGGAACTAATGGGGTAGGTGGAGAATTTGAGAAACGACGTAGGTTGGCATCAAGAGGTTCCACACCAGTCGCCTGTACTTCAA